CTTCATTCATTCGAATTATTTTAGCATTGGGTCTCTGTATATACAACCTGTATGTACGCATTTCTATACTTATACGAGCATGTGAGTGTTAGTTAATGTTTCTTAGTGAATTAAAATGTATTTCATTTTATGAAAACATATAAATTATTTATATAACTTAATGTTCTATTTTTGGGCATTATCTTTTTTGTTTCTCCAACAAAAAAGAATATTTCCAGGAATTGCCCAAAGGGACAAGGAATTAGTTCGCTGATATACTTCCGTTTTACATCTTCTTTCGCCAGACATTTTGTAATAAGTAAATAACGTTATTTAAAAGAACAAAGCGAGGAACGTTTCGAAACTTTTTCAAGAAGATAACTCAAATATTTTCCTTAATTTGTTACGTCAGTTATTTCGCAAAAGGAAAATGTATAATAAGACATGACAAAAGATTTACATTTAATTTTCTTCGAGGGATGTATTTTTCAGGCCACGCGAACTTTCTTTTTTATCTCTTGCTTATTCTGAAATAACGGCGAAAAAGAAATATAAGAAAATTAATTTTAGTTTACCATCTTAAGCATTTGCAGTTTATGTTTTGGGGTTGTTTTAATTTAAGGTAGGATCAAAGTTTTAGTAATATAAAATATAATTAAAGATGGCTTTAGTCAATTATTTTAAAGATATTAAAATTATAGGTGAATTAACGTTTACTAAAGTTAATATTTTTAATGCTTGCTATGTCTTATTTTCGACTGGAGCCAGATAGTTCAAATAACAATCGATAGATAAATCTTCGATAATAGGAGTTGTGTGCTTAAGACTTCAATTGAGTTATAGCACATTAAATTGTGTAAATAAAGAGTAGCATTTTTCCATATGCTGGATGATAACGAAAGCCTATATAATCAATTATTTCATTGCGACTTATCGAATAAATTTAAAAATTGCTTCAAAATATACTTTGTCATAATAAGTAGCACTTGAATGATTACATTCCCAAAGCATTTGCATAAAATTCAAATGCAATATAGGCATTTCGGTTAAAGAATATTAAAACACATTTTGTTCAAAATTTGGAAGAAGTAAGATTCTTTTTGAAATGTTCAATTTTCAATTTTGAAACCATTTTTCAGGTTTTTTTTTCTTTGTATCGAAGCGGGCCTTGATTTTATGTTGACCTAGTTGCCTAATTATTTTTTTATCGCAATTTAACATTCTATATTATTATTTATCTGCAAAATTAAAGACTTTTGAAAAGTTAAATCAACATTCTATATTAGTTTTACCAATTATAATTAAAACGCCATTAAATGGAGAATTTAGAGAGAATCGGATTGGAACAAGTGGCCCCATATCTTGGACTGCTAGGTCTTGTGATTTAACTTTTTTCGACTTTTTATGGGGGAAATTACAAGATCTTATATATAAGGGAAGAGTCATTGGGACGAGAGAAGAATTGCAGAAGGCTACTAGGCAAGCTTTTGGACTTATTACGCTAGTTCACCTAATGATTCGCTGTAATTATGTGAGCAAAAGATGTTTATTAAGTATTCAACAATGGCGTGCTCAGTTTGGACATCTTAGATGATTTTTTTAGAAAACTATATTCGTCACTCAAAAAATACGTTCGTTGTTTATTGTTGTTCTTTGTTTATTGTATCGATTTCAATTGTTATTACTAAAACTAATATAGAATGTTAATTTACTTTTTCAAAAGTCTTTAATTATGCCGATAAATAATAATAATGCATTATATTATTATTATTAACTCATCCTAAAGGAGAATGTATCAGACCTACCGGAAGGACAATATATAAGTGCCGTAGATGTGATTCTGGAAGTGAAAACATAGAACACATTTTATCAGGGTGCAGTAATCTGGCGAGTACAAAGTATCTGGAAATACACAACAGAGTCGCATCGATCATCTACTTGGAGATCCTCAAACATTTCAACATTGGCCGAGAAATCCAAGAGCCCTACTACAAATATCATCTACCACCCGTAATCGAAAATAATAGTTTCAAGATATACTAGGATAAAACAATCTTAACAAATAAAACCGTTAGAAGTAACAGACCGGACATCACGCTTATAAATAAAATAAAAAAAACAGTTTTACTAATTGATATTTCTATTCCTAACAACAACAATATACAAAGTAAGTTTTCAGAAAAAATAATAAAGTATCAAGATTTATAATAATAATAGCTCCCGTATATAGCGTTTAACGCCTTGGGAGTAGCAAGGTACAGCTTGCCATACTAGAGCCGTTCGGTATACAAGGAAGGTAATGTGGCTAGCACTACGCTTCAACCGCCTATTATTACCTCAGGATTGTGAATCCCAAGTACTCATTTAAGGCTGAGTCGACCTAGGTACCCAAACTATTTTTATTTTAATAAAAATAGTCGGCTGATGCAATGCCGGATGTGGGGAATCGAATCCACTACCTTGAGATTGGTAGACGAGAGCCTGTACCTCTACGCCACCGGGCACCTTTAGTATCAAGATTTGAGAATAGAAATGAAAAATATATGTCAAATGGAATCGGTCCAGGTAGTCTCCTTGATTGTTTCAGCCATTGGAATTATCCCGGTTAACCTGAAAGAACAATTAAAAGTAATTGGAATACCTGAAAATACTTACCTGCCTAATGCAGAAATCTGTGCTGCTTGATGCTGCTAACATTGTTCGTTCTTTTGTAGGTGATTAACAATAGCACCTTGTATTGTCCCCATGGACCGATAAGGCAGCTTTAAACCTGTTTCATGAGCAGTGAAAAAAAAAATAGAATATTAAATTGCGATAAAAATTAATTAGACAACTTGGTCAACACAAAATCAAGGCACACTTTGGTACAAAGATAAAAACCTAATAATTCTCACATTCTTAGAAATAGGTACCCATAACTATATCGTTCAAAATGATTAAACGCAAGCATTTTCTTAAGTTCATAGCCAACTACGATTTCTATTTAAAAATTATATTTTTCATTAGTTCTGACAAAAAACTCACTACGCCACTGGATTGTGCTTAAAAAAGTGCCTTAAGAACGTCTTTACAGAATTTTATTATTCCGCGAAATAAAAAAGTAATGGTTCTCACTTGGCAGTGAAAATATCAACAGGCTATTTATGCCATTAAACGTCTCAGAAATCGAGTCAATGTCATCTATGTCGGTTTTGCTTTATCTAATCAGGAAATAGGTTTTCTCTGTTAAAACAGACCAATTTCGACCATCATGTACATGGTGTTGATAATCTATTCTATTATAGCATGTATAATTAAATATTCTATTATAGCATGCATATTTTAATTTAAGTAATCGTTAAATATCTCTCAAAACCAAAGATTTTAAACATATTTAACTTTTGTAATAAATGCCTTTTTTGGGCCCAAGAATCCAAAAATGAAATAAAATATCGGGTGTTCCATAAGAAAATATATCTTTGGTATCAGCTTTAGTTCTGAAACACCCTGTATATTTCAAAATAATTTTAAACTGTGCCACATTGCCTCCCCACCTATACCCATAAAATATTTTGTTTCTACATCTTTCCGTTTTCCTATAATTCATGGAGATGAATGATAGCAACATACATTTTTTAGTCAAACTGAATGTTTCCAAGAATTGCACTAGGGGACAATGCAATAGTTTAGTGACAAATATTTTTTATTATATTTGTTATAATTGGGTTAGGAAAAGAAACGCTTTAAACCATTGAGTTACCCATTTCTCTGTCATTATACATACCTACATTAATTAAAAAATATTGAAATTTTTTATCCATAAGAATCAGAAAAAATTAAGATACTTTTTTAAGGTAATTTAATTTTTAAATAAAATTATATAAGGATTCTTGCTACTTAACTACTGATATAGAAATTTAATTTTACGCTATGTTTGTCATAATGTGGATCAACCCGCTCTCACTACCGGTTTCGGAGCCCTACTCCATCATCAGGTGAGCTTGGGCAGATCCACAAAATGACAACCACAGCGCAGAGATAGTTAATTCAGACTTGTCGGAAAGTGTCGGTTAGATATTAAGTCCCGAACAGGAGATAGCAGCCTGCGTGCAATGGTAGTACTTTCGTACCACCGGGGCGCAACTATCGATAATAAAGGACGGTAAAAGGCTTTTTTCAGGCAAGCCAAATTATAAAATAGAAAACAAATTTCTTGCGGTATAGGTATATAATAAAATTATATAAGGATTCTTGCCACTTAACTGCTGATATAGAAATTTAATTCTACGCTATGTTTGTCATAATGTGGATCAACCCGCTCTCACTACCGGTTTCGGAGCCCTACTCCATCATCAGGTGAGCTTGCGCAGATCCACAAAATGATAACCACAGCGCAGAGATAGTTAATTCAGACTTGTCGGAAAGTGTCGGTTAGATATTAAGTCCCGAACAGGAGATAGCAGCCTGCGTGCAATGGTAGTACTTTTGTACCACCGGGGCGCAACTATCGATAATAAAAGGATGGTAAAAGGCTTTTTTTCAGGCAAGCCAAATTATAAAATAGAAAACAAATTTCTTGCAGTATAGGTATATAATAAAATTATATAAGGATTCTTGCCACTTAACTGCTGATATAGAAATTTAATTCTACGCTATGTTTGTCATAATGTGGATCAACCTGCTCTCACTACCGGTTTCGGAGCCCTACTCCATCATCAGGTGAGCTTGGGCAGATCCACTAAATGACAATCACAGCGCAGAGATAGTTAATTCCGACTTGTCGGAAAGTGTCGGTTGATGACCTTGCTTGTTGATGATGCTTGGTCAGGTGACCAAGCTCACCTGATGATGGAGTAGGGCTCCGAAACCGGCAAGAAATTTGTTTTCTATTTTTTAATTTTTAAAAACACTGTGTTTTTTAAGAACTAACTAATACTTAGAATGTGATTGCTTCACGATATCAAATTAAATACCAGCCTTTATGAAGTTAATTAAATTTTTATTCGAAATAATACAAATTCTAAACTACACTGTATAAACATTTAATGAGAAATATTTTACTGTCTAAAACAAACTACTGTCTCATTGAAGATTTCTTGCGTATTATCTCTTATACCAAAGAAGGCGTTTCCAGCGCATTTTCTAACATCTTCACTAATAACGATGAACAAATCGAAAAGATTTTCTATATCATTATGAATAGCTGGAGATATATTACGGACCGTGTCTAATACAGAAGCTCCAAATCGAATTAAACAAAAGACATCTTCTCCCGAACATTTTTCTAAACTATCCACGTCTGCACGAAATCCATCTTTGAAGCCGGAAAACTCTTTAAGGACAGCTCTAATTTGACTGGTTACTTTGGAAAATTCCGCAGCGATGCACTTTCCTATTTCCTGCGATGCATCGGAGAAAGCAGATTCGAATTGATCTTTTTCATTAACGATACACTGAAGAACAATTTTGCCGTCGGCCGTGGCGTTGGCTTCGAAACTTTTGATTAGGTCGACAAAATACGAATTGAAAAGCTTTCCTTCGCTGATAACGTAATTAATAATATTCTCCTCGATTTCGGGTTCCTGATTTTCGATTTTCGCGATGTATTCGTCGGCTTCCTGGAAGAAGAGATCCAGCTCATTAAAAGCTTCTTCTAGGAGCTGAACGACTATGTTTCTAACGCCGTCTTTTAAGTGAGATGACGAATGTACCTAGAAACAAAATAATTTTTAAAATTTGACATCAAAATAAAAGAATGCCTACCATTTACAGCGCTAACGTTTAGGTTTGACTAAAATTTAATTTTTTTCTTTTTTTTTGTTTTATAAGCCTAAGTTACACTTCAAATTAAGTGCAACTTAGGGAAATTTAAATATTAAATTCATTGGCGTAACTACAGGGGAGCCCGGGGCTGCCGGGCACCCCCTAGTACTGCAGGGCACCCCCCAGAGAAATCTTGGATTATGACTCTTGGCTACGTATTAATTTTTATTTCCTTGTGATGTAGTAAACATTACGTTTTCTAGTTTTGTTTAGTTAATATTATTTTGTTGTGTTCAAAAAATGTGCTAATTTTTATTTTTTTAGAAAATTTGTACGTATTTAAGTAACCTACGGGAACACCGTTTAATAACCAAGTCTATGAAATTTATTGAGAGAGAATATATGTTTCTTTTATCGAGATATACCAGCGCTGAAAATATTTGCACTCATTTAAGACTCACCCTGTATATGTAATAACTAAGCCGAATAAAGCAGGATATTTTGTAACTATATACTGTAATTTGAGTTTTGTTATAACAGTAACAAATCCTTTGATGATAATTATCATAAGTGTTTTATATGTATTCGTGATTATTTAGTGATAAATAAGAGTTTCAGTTTGTAATTTTAATTTCTGTTTATACTTTAAAATAAATAGTCATAAAACTAGTCATTTTTTATTTTATAATAAAATATAATTACAAATCAGTAACATATACAATATATTATGATTTTGTTAAGCTTTCTTTTGTCATTTCCAGCTCAAAGAAAGATGTTTCTTAAAATTTGGAGGAGGATGACACCTTCAAATTTTCATGTATTTTAAAGTTTTATGTTTTATGTTCTAGTTGACCGATTTTGATAATTTCTTAAACAGTTTGTAGCTAAGTTGTTTGAATTTTAAGTATCCCGTTCTCTAAATTAAAAAGTCCCCATCTGTCGATTATACGAGGGAAAATAAAATGTTGATATTTTGATGAAATTTTTAAACACTCTGTAGAATGGCTTAACAATGAATGAACTTAAAAACTACTTTAGCATCAAGGTATATATTTTCTTGATAGTTTTGTTTATTGATTGATCTCAATAACTGTTCTGTTGTTGGAGATATTCGCCTTTGAAGAAATCTGTAACGACTTACAGCAATTTTAGAGTCAAAAGCTGACTTTTTCTTTTGGTCCTAATCAACACGCACATAAAACAGTGTTTACAGTTTTTTTGACATCGCTGTAATTGAAAAGTCATATTATTTTTGCTTGTTAGCAGTTACTCTAGCAGAGATTGTTTTAAGATCAGAAGTTTTATTGGTTATGGTTGCTTTAATTGAATGTAGTAAAGCTTCTGGGATTCAAACTATTTCTGCTGGAGTAACTTCCAACAAACAGTAATAATGTGAATTTTCAATGACAGTGCAATTAAAAAAAGATAAACACTATTTCATAGGTGTATTGATGAGGACCTACAGCAAAGGTGTGCTTTTAATGCTAAAATTGCTGTAAATCGTTAACACTATTTTATATAAGCGACTATCTCCAACAAAAATAAAGCTATTGAGATGAACTAAAAATAAAATATCGAGAAAAGATGTACCTAGATGATAAAATTATTTTTAAATTCCATACTTTGTTAATAATATGTTCCAAAGGGTGTTTCAAAATTTCACACAAATTTCAACATTTTGAAAACAAAAATAAGGAAACCTCGTATAATTCACAGCTGAGAACTTTTATTTTTAATTTAGGGAGATATACGATAAAGTCCAATAAAATGTAGCCACCCTTTACTTAAAAATCATCAAAATCGGCTAGCTAGTACAAAATATATTAAGTTTTAAATATAGAAAAATTTTAATCCATAACGCAGTCAGATCATTGCTATGATTTGTCATTACTTAAATGTTACGGTAAGTTAAGTTTTTTATATAAGAATGCTTAACGTTTTTTCTTAAACTAGTTTTGCAAAATTTTAATATTTTTTTTTATATTTTACCTCGTTCGAAACAATTTTATTCTTTTCTCATTTTCTAGACACTCCATTTTCGACTACAAAAATTTTTAATTTACTTTATAAAATATACTCACATTTGCTACCACCAGTATTAAACAGAAAGCACTAAAAATGTTGAAATTCATCTTCGTTCAATACTTATTTCAATCAAATTACTAAAATAATTGACGATCGATATACGACCTTTTCTTTTTATAGTTCTTTTGAAGCAGAAGTCAATATTTTTCTTCTCATTCAAGTGTTTATACTAATTGGTATATTAATCTTGTTAAAATTTGTTTATTAAAGAGAAAAAATAGGGCATATTATGATGTTTTATAAACAAATTCTTAGGAAGAGTACCTAAAATAATATCGGTTTTGTCTATAATAAGAAAGTAAAAATAAACAAACATCTACATTTATCCATTATTCTTGCTTAAAGTGCTTTGTAAATTCGTCAATTAACGATTCGTTCACCTCAAATATTAAACAAACAAAAAAGATAACAAAAAGAATTTCATATTTCCTTATCGAAAATAACATAATTTTTAGTTGATTTATTTTTCAACAGTTACAACACACAATTTTGTTATCAACATTCATATTTTTCCCTATGTTGAAAAATATATACCTCGTTTTGCATCGCTGACATGAACATAGGAAATACAACATAAATTTTAAATATGATGAACAAAACACATTTTATTTTATTATAGAAAAACTTGTATAAAACTTTTTACAGAAAACATAAATGTTCTATTTGCCTACGTACTTTTTTGGTTATGAAATCTAAAATATTACCAAATTAACCACAATGATATTTCGACATTGCCAAACACAATCATAACGTATTATGACAAACATATCATGGTTTCTCTACAACAATTTTCTGCAGGTCAATCATCGTAAATTATAGCCGTAATAACCACATCGTGAATACGAAATAGTCATAAAAAATTAATATTTCGAGGGAGGAGGGCAATGGTCAGGTTGTACCTATTAAACTAAACCCACCCTCAGACTTGTTAATTTTGCTGATACATGCACCCTTTCTTAATCTTTTTATTCAATTACTACATAATCCTGAAAAATTATAAATTACTTCAAATACTTCTTAATCCTAAAAATTTATAAATTACTTCAAATACCCCCAATAATATTGTGTCCCCCTTCCTTGAGTTATAACTCATCATACAGTCTAAAGAAACTACTACTAAAAGAAAAGTAATATACAGAGTGTTGGATTTAAAAAAATGATATATAGCATTTTAAATATTGCGATGTTGGCGACACCATAAAACTTACCCTGCACAAGATATTGTAAATTTTCCTTTGCGGGTTTATTTTGTTATGCTTGGTGTTTAGGAAAATATAGCTAAGAATTATTAAAGTTAAATTCACTCTAGTTTTTAACCACTTTTCGGATATAGTGTTTTTAACCAAAGTAAATAAGAAATAGAATGGCAACACCGCATAGTGCTAGCAATAAAAATAGCTAAAATAACCAAATGAAAACCTAATCTGCGTTTCCCGAACCTAAATCCCAAGAAAATCAAACTTAGCATAAAAATAGTCCAATCCAAATCTAAACAGAAATATGGGTAGTGCAATTTAAAAAAAAATCTTTACCATAACTTTATTTGATACACCCTGTATACAACAAAATATTTTTAGGATATGCCCCTTTATAAACCATGCAACATCTGTATAAAACTTTTTATAAAGAATATCTTCGACGACGATAGCGGACTTTCTCGTACTAATGGGCCACCCTGTATAAATCTATTTATTGTAAAAAATGTCTATACCTATATGTAGCGGATTCATCTTTCCAAAAAAATCCTTTATGGGTTTTTCGCCACTGCACTGCAAGAAAATCTACAAAATAAAATAATTATGTTTTGTAAACACTTCTGCGTTAAACCTAAACGGACGCTGCTTGTCAGAAGTTATGTTTATAGTAATACAAATTTGCCTAACAAAGAAAAAAAATGCTTAACGTTTCGGAAAGTTGTCTCTTTCCGTCGTCGAAAGCAAAAAAATACAAAGAATAAAGAAAAAAACTATTTAAAATATTGAAATTTAACTATTCGAGAACACTTTACTTTTTTAAAACAGATACGTCTACAAGAAACCGTTGACGTTCTGTTAAAATGACATTTTTAACTTGATATTTAAACTTCAAAATTAACAATTACTACCTGATAACAATTACTTAATAAGGTAAAACCAAAAAGCCCCAAACTTTCTGTATGATTATTTTTAAATTTTACGTATGTTATGTTTATTTATCTTGTTGTATCTATTGTTCTTTAAAATCAAAGAAGCGATTGCCATACATTACTAACATCTACAGATGCATGAGCAATACATTTATTTTTATTAGATTGAATTAAAAAAGTCTCTTTTATTTTTCTTAGAGGCTATCGCTTCTTTCATTATAATTTTGGCGTTATTAAAATTTATTCTGTGCCCTGTGTCCCAAGAATGCTGACCAATCTTAGATTTGTGAAAATCTCCCTTTCTTAAATAATCTTTATGTTCTTTAATTCTAACATTTAAGGGTCTAGATGTTTCACCAATGTAAAATTTATCGCATTCACAGGGTATTTGGTATATTACATTTAAAACAACAACCAAAAAATGAAAGATTATTTAAGAAAGGGACTGAACATAAAAATTATTTATGAAAGGGAGATTTTCACAAATCTAAGATTTGTCAGCATTCTTGGGACACAGGGCACAGAATAAATTTTAATAACGCCAAAATTATAATGAAAGAAGCGATAGTCTATAAAAGAAAAATAAAAGAGGCTTTTTTATTTCAATCTAATAAAAATAAATGTATTGCTCATGCATCTGTAGATGTTAATAATGTATGGCAATCGCTTCTTTGATTTTAAAGAACAATAGATACAACAAGATAAATAAACATAACATATGTAAAATTTAAAAATAATCATACAGAAAGTTTGGGGCTTTTTGGTTTTACCTTATTAAGTAATTGTTATCAGGTAGTAATTGTTAATTTTGAAGTTTAAATATTAAGTTAAAAATGCCATTTTAACAGAACGTCAACTGTTTCTTGTAGACGTATCTGTTTTAAAAAAAGTAAAGTGTTCTCGAATAGTTGAATTTCAATATTTTAAATAGTTTTTTTCTTTATTCTTTGTATTTTTCTGCTTCCGACGACGGAAAGAGATAACTTTCCGACACGTTAAGCATTTTTTTTTCTTTGTCAGGCAAATTTGTATTACTATAAACATAACTTCTGACAAGCAGCGTCTGTTTAGGTTTAACGCAGAAGTGTTTACAAAAAATAATTATTTTATTTTGTAGGTTTTCTTGCAGTGCAGTGGCGAAATACCCATAAAGGACTATTTATTGTATTTTCATTGTAGGTCTAATATTAATTTATTGTAACATTTTTTTTTTAATAGATAACATTTATATTTTGACTGACAAGTTATCACAGAAAATTGTTTTGGCTATTGTTGGAAACTAATTAATTAATTTTCCCCCATGTTATGAAATAATCGACGTATTGACTTGATGCGTTAATATCTACCTATAACAAATAGCTTTCCATCAAGCTGTGTATTTTCTATTAATAAAAGTGTTTTAAAAACAACAGAAGACATTTATGATGTAACTATAATACTTTTAATGTGTAAACTTTTATTTATCATTTATAATTAATGATTTTGTAATTTAAATGTAACTTTTTTCAAATTAGGAAGATTTAAACATAAATAATTGGAATTGGATATGGGAGGGGTGTTAACTAACGTCATACAGTCTCAAGGGTTTGACAATAGCCAATATTTGAGACGGTTTTACAGAGGCTAGTTCTCCATTTCCGATATCAGTGTTGGGTTATGGGATTAATAATACACTTTTATTCCTTTTACTAGAAACACGCACTCGGAAGGTATCTATGCAACTGAACTCTAAGCTGTTTAAAATACGCACAATTTCACTAACAAAGAACGCATTGGGGCACAGCTGTAAAGGGCCGATCATCTTACATAGCTGCACGTTTTTGTAATTTTTGTAAATATTCCAACAATCAGTCATATCAAAGTTTATGGCATGAATTGTTTTCGTCTCGGCGCACTCAGTGATGTGGTGTTCTAATGTTCTCCCATCTGCCCACAGAATCTGCATTCGCCGTTGCTTCCTAGGTTCAATCTACCGATATAAATCTATTGAGGCGACCGCGACAGTGTCCTGTTAATATCCCCGTGAAAATCCATGAAAAAAGTTTTTTCTTACTTAAATCGAGGGAAATTTTTAATTTTTCTTGTTTGTAAGTTCCGAAAAACTCAGTCAACAACAGTGACCTAGACCCTTCGAAGATTCGTATTCCAGGTTACGGATGGAGTCTTCCAGATTCTTAAGTTTCGCTTTAATCCTCCGATTTTAAACCTCGCGCGCGGACTCGCAGTCCGCAGGTACCTATTTTCCCAATAATTCGAAAATTTGAAAACATCAGATGCTGCGCCGCTTAGTATCTTCCTGTCTCTGCATATTATATGAGAAGTGTACGTTTGCACATCGTTTAGGGTAGTTAGTATCTTTTTATACTCATGCGGAGTGTCTCTGCAAGAAAAATTGCACCAACTCATGTAAGACTGTTTGAAAGAAGATGACGAATTAACTACTGAACATGACGATGAAAAGGAAGAACGAGAAGTGGATATTATAGAAAGACAAAGGCCTAAAATAAATTCTGATACTAGCAAATTTTACATTTTGAAGCACTGAATACAGTATTATCAGAAAATCGGCACTACAGAATTTTGATAGGCCGAAAAATAGACCAACTCGTTACTCTTTGTACAGTGCCAAAATTTCGTATGTTTTGAGCACACAGAAATATTCTGTAATCACTGTTATACAGACTGAAAGTCATTTTATTCAAGCATACGTTATTTCAGAGACAGCGTCGTGCCTATGCTTAATGTAGAAACAAATAAAAAAGGTTTAACATATATTTGGCCAAATCAGTAATGAAAAATCTAAGCGTAAATATCTTTATCACTTTAACTTACATTTTTTACAAATGACAAATGGGTTCACATATTTAGAAGTGGATGTATTCTATTATATTTGGATATTTCTACCCAAGCCGCTTCTTTTATCTTTAT